AACGCTTGGCTCTGGTGTGGATTATCCATACTTTCCTTCTGCTGCATGCCTCTGGTAAAACTGTAAAATAGTTTCGGTCTATTTTTTTTGAAAGTCTGTGAGGTTGTCCTTGGTAATCCTTGTTCAGGTGGTTCTTCCTTTGACTTTCATCCAGTGTTTTACTGGCTCTCTCTCGTCTCTTCTCTCTTTTTTTTTCTACTTGTTTGTTCTTTTTTTTTTTTTTTTTTTTGGGTTGGGGGTGCGGGGTGGGGACGGCGGGGGGCCGACATATTGCAGGTGGTTCTTGCTTCAACAGCCAGTCTGGAAGCTGGGTTTGCCCGTGATCTATTTGTGGAATGGGCGGGAGACCCAAAGAACCTTGTGCTGTTCACAGAAAGAGGACCGGTGAGTGTAGGAGGCAACTCTGACTTCTTAATCTTTTCTTTTCTTTTTGTTCTTTCTTCTGTGAGGAATGATCCCTTGCAAGGCCCGTTTGCCCGACACTGTTGGGGCCCTCAGCAAGCCTTGTGCCCGTTGTGAGTGAAGGCGGGCCTGCATTTCAACTTGATGCCTTATTTTTTGTCATTAATGCCGCTGGGGGCGCCAAACAGTTACCTCGCGCCAGTTGGTTACGAGGCCCACACCAGTGTGAACACAACATTGTGAGCCTTCTGGGCTCTTCCAGGCGGCGACGTGGCTCCAGGCCTCTCGGCCAATTGGGAAGCAGCGAGTGATGCTGGCCACGTCACACAGTTGGGCTGCTTAACTGTTGCGGGTCCAGGCCACTGCCTGCATTGGGCGCAGACACTTTGGCACAAAGCCAGGCTACTGGGAACGTGGGAACGTGGCCTCCAGGCCCAGGGTGCTCGAGCAGGGCAACACTTTCCATATAGGAAAGTGTCGGGCCTTGGGAGGGTCCTTCTGGCGTTGCACAAACTCGCGGCCACACTGCTGGATTGCAGCGCTGATGCTGCTGGAGGAAGTGCGACCGGGGTGCACATGGGCGCAGTGAGGTGAGGGGCGCTGCCAGGGGCAGTGGGCGCACGGCAGCCATAGCCAGGCTGGCCGAGCGGATGCTGGTGTGGGTGATGGTGGTCTTCGGGTAGGAGGCACACAATGTGGGGAAGAAAAGGTGGTGAGAGAGAGAGAGAGAGAGAGAGAGAGAGAGAGAGAGAGAGAGAGAGAGAGAGAGAGAGAGAGAGAGAGAGAGAGAGAGAGAGAGAGACGTACTTGGTGCATGCGGCAGTCTGCATGGGCAACTTCGTCACGTACATTTGTCTTCGGCTGGAAGTGATTCCTGGTTGCATGTCGGAGCGTAGGCTAGTGTAGGTTCTGAGTAGAGGTAGGCTGGGTGCTGAGCACCAATCAAGAAGGGCGGCATTAGATACATTGCTGATGGTGGCTAGAAGAGGCTGACATTGACATTGGAGTTCATTGTGTTGGCTTTTATTTGGCTTGTATCTTAGTGAATTCTACTTTCTGCTTGGGACATGACTATCTGGCCTTCAACGTGATATTGCAATTTGGTTTTCTGTCAATCGCCCTTGCTCATTTTCCTTGCACTTGTTTTTATTTCTTTTTCCGTTTTGCTGGCATCTTCTTGATCAGAGGCATCTTCCGTTTTGGCTTTCTTTGCTCATTCCTCCTCCATTCACTTTGCTTCTGTTTCTGCACTTTGCTCCTCTCCTCCCTCACGTAACCGCTTTCTGCTTCTTTGGTGGGAGTGCACCTCTGTATGTTACATTGTTCTGGAATTATTTTTTTCATATCTCCCCGCAGCACGACTGGATGGCCCTTATTTCATCCTCCAGCAGCATCCATCCACTCTTCGCTTCACGTTAAGCAGAAATCCCAGCCGGGGAAAAAGGGCTCGGAGGAACTGAGGGTTCATTCGAGAGTGTGGAAGGAGGACAAAGTTTACTATCGTCCACTTTGGTCATGCCACTAACATCTTCTCCCGAGCACAATGCACCCTGATTATGAATGTATACAAGCCACCATTCTGGTGTGATACAGTCATAACGAGGGTGAATTTTGTTTGGGGGACGACGGTAGTGTTGGATTCAACTTCTGTGACCGGGACGGGACTACTCTTGTTCCATGTCCAATGTGTGGTGTTTGCCTCAGCATGTATAGGGTTTTCCAACAAAGTGTTACAATGCCATGGCCTCCATGAGATCGATATGCCGCAACCTCGATGAGCCTCATGTGCGGTTCTGATTAGGAGGGGTGTTGGAGACGATTTTCTCCGCGTTGTTTCCCTGGTGATTATGTTTTTGTGGTATAAAAAATCGCCCTCAGGCTTGTATCGTTTTGGCGGCATGGTTAGGACGAGGCTTTGTGATTTTTTCAAATTGTTTGTCATCTGTGGTGTGGCATTTCTTTGTCGGTGTGAGATGACGAGGTTTTGTCATTTTTTCCAAATTGTTTGCCATTTGGGGTGTGATGGGATCCCTTTGCAGGCAGGAACACTCGCACGCGTATTACAGGCCGAGCCGGCACCGAAGGCCGTGAAAGTGGTTATGAGCAAAAAAGTGCGCTTGGAGGGCGAGGAACTGCAAGCATACGAGGAGGAGCAACGCAAGCTCAAAGGACTGGATGCTGCTGGAACATCTCCTGCAACAGATACAGTCATGGAGAATGCTGGAGAGGATGGGCCTGAAAGGACTGACGGTGGCACGCAGTCAGCAGAAGCTGCAGAAGGACAGGTTTTGGACCAAGGTTGGGTGGGTGTGGCTTTCCCTATGCTGTACATCGGGTTCTACCTTCTCTCCTTTTTTTTTTTTTTTTCGGTTTCTACCTCTTCTCCTATGTTTTACATTTGCTCGTTTTTTGTTTTTTGCGTGTGTGTGTGTGTATTGTCATGTTCGCTATACACAACTCCACTCTCCCCCCCCAAAAAAAATAAAAATAAAAATAAAAAGACTGTCCCAGACTGCTTCTCAAACTTTGTGTGTGTATGTATGTGGGTGCGTGTGTTTGCGCGTGTGTGCATGTGTGTGTGTGTGTGTGTGTGTGTGTGTGTGTGTGTGTGTGTGTGTGTGTGTGTGTGTGTGTGTGTGTTTTCTTGTTAGTTGCAGGGCTCCGTGCCCCTCCGAACGTCAATGGAGGGGTTAACCGACTGAGGGAGACGTTCTGTGATGGTTTCACACCACCAGCGAAAGCGGTTGCGCCAATGTTTCCTGACGACAGAGTGATGACAGACTGGGATGAGTATGGAGAGGTCATTAATCCAGATGATTACAAGGCACCCGAAGCGGATCACATGGAGGTCGGGAGTCCTTCGGTAAGACCATATGCTTGAATAGGTGGTCTGTGGGGAAAAGATGGCATCCTTCGGGACATCCGTTAAAATTGAAACGATACAGAGAAAGAAGATTAGCATGGCCCCTGCCCAAGGACACGCATAAATCGAGAAATGGTCCAAATCAAATGTTAAAAAAAATAAAAATAAAAAAACCGCAAAGTCAAAAGGAAAAAAAAAAGACAAAAAAAAAAGTTTCGGACAAAAAAAAAAGGTGTAAAGATACTAAAGAAAGGTTACAGTGTGGGTCATGCTGTCTGCTCTTTCTCTTCATTTGTTTTGCAAAGTGCACTCCTCTAGTTTATAGATATCTGAGACGAGTCGGCGAAACTCGGAAGCAAAACAGTTCTTTACAACCCTCTGTTTCTTTTCTATGTATCTCTTTTCACCTATGGTTCTTCATGGGACAGCTGTCACAGTTACCGTCTTCACCCGAATGGAACGCCCGGTCATGATAGCCGTATTTGGGGTAACTTTCAGTCCAGATGCAGCGATAATGACCGGGCGCTCTATACACGTGAAGACAGTAGTGAAATGTACGTGAGCCTTTTTTTATGGTTCAGTGTCCCAATAGGCTATGCGTGCGTGATACGTGAGCCTTTATTATTGTTGTTAGTTTTTTTATGATGATATCAGATATTATTGATAATTATTCTTTTTTTTTTTTGCCAGCCTTTATTATTGTAATGATGTAGAGTCGTTGTAGACATTCAGAAGAGCATATGAATGTCGGAAATTCAACAAATTCAACAAATTGTTGAATTTTGAATTTTCATACATGTACCTGTTTATACATCCTACTAGCCTATTACTACCGTCTTCACCCGAATAGAACGCCCGGTAATTATGGCTGTATCTGGACTGAAAAATGCATCAAATACAGCTATAATGACCGGGCGTTCTATTCGGGTGAAGACAGTAGGTTAGATTCCATGCCTGTGGGTTTTACACATTCACCCTACATCAGCTTCCGTACATTCACGATTAGGGTGTGTTGTCTCGGGGAAGGATGATAGTGACCAACGAGTACACCCATGTTGAATTACACATCCAAGTTTGAATCCTGATGAGCCTAAGATGAATGCAATGAGATAATGCTGAATCACCTGCGGCTGGTAAACTTGATGATCATATCTCAAGGCCGATGCCCTTTTAAAAGGGAAAAAGAAAGGAAGGAGGGCGATAGGCTAACTATACAGGCCGCGGGGTTAGAAGCTTTGATGATAGGCCGGCACAACATGATGTGGTGATGGCGATGGATCGAACTGCGCATTTGCCGTGCTCTTTGAAACCGTAAAGCAGAATACATTGCCTCGTTTTAGGCATGGATAGAGATGCCATAATGGGCCTTGCTCTACTACTCACCACATGCACAAAATACAAAAAGAAAAAAAGAAAATATGGCGGTGCATCTTCCCATGTTCTAGTGGGAGATTCATGCTCGTTTGCGCATTTGGTGAGCAGTGGAACGAGGCCCAATGTCCCTTTGCTTCTCTAGTCTTCATTTGCATACTATTTTGAAATCCAACGCCTCTGCACTCTCTCTCTCTCTCTCTCTCTCTCTCTCTCTCTCTCTCTCTCTCTCTCTCTCTCTCTCTCTCTCTCTCT